CCCCTGTTCGGCCATCCGCAGATCTTGGATAGTAATGGCCTGCCTCTCTCTCTCAAAAGGAACTCCGTCTGGAAACGATGGGTGGAGAAAGGGGTTTACAAGATAGGGGACATATGGGATATTCCCTCTCGGTCATGGGCCTCAGTGGATCAGCTCCACACTGAGATTGGCCATATAGCAAACATGGCACAGGGCCTACAGGAAATCCAAGAAGCGATCCCRTTGGCATGGATCCGAATCCTCAAAAAAGGYCCCCGATTWGCCCAAGGYGACTGGGTCGTCCCAACAGACTCCCTAGCTCTCCCCATGGTGTTGTACAATGTGCAAAACACCGAGGGCCCCCAGATTTCACTTCAGGCCTACTGTCCACTCATGSCAGGGGCCAGATGGTCAGCACTGCATCGTCAGGATGAACTGGATACACAACTYCCTGCATCTCTTTTAACCAGASTTAGGGTGGTGGGCAACCAGAAAGATGGKTTTTTCCATTATGAACCCACCACCCCACTGCAGTGCCTCCTGTTTGACCCGTCGGAATGGGAGTGGGAATGGGGGAATTCCCAAAAGATGTCCCTACATCAATATTCAGTAAAGAGAGGATATAGACCGGCGCGTAAACCGATCACAACCTTGGACCGAATTATCAAACGATGGGAGCGAGACTCCCCCCTCAAAGCTYAGGACTTTAACCTCTTCCGGTGGTCCGCACTCTCCCACATTCGTCCGACCAGCCACAGGGCCCTGCAGTGGCAAATCACGCACAGATGTTTGCCCACTCCAGACTGGATCACATCACGAACGGACCTAGAAGAAAAAGGCCTACTGTCTCCACTGTGCCAGTACTGCTCCCGCACGCGGCCCAACAGAAGAGCCACGTTAGAACACTGCCTGCTGGACTGCCCAATGATGCTCCAATTATGGAGATGGTGGGATGCAGCGTGRCATCATCTCACAGATTKCCACCTCCCKTGGGGAGTGGCCACCATCCTGCTAAAGGCCACTCCAGCCGACGCAGGAGAATGGACCCCGTTCAAAGCTAATCTATTTGCRTACTCCAGACTCACCGTGCTGATGGCAACATGGAGGATGCGTTGCTCCTACGAGAGAAAACAACATAACTATGGCTACATGCAAGCTCGATCCACAATCATTGACACCATCACGGCAAACACTCAGGCAGCACATMAAGATATGCAGASCAGAATAACAGACCAACCAGACTTACAAAAACGGCAAGAACTCCGAACCTCCTTTATGGAGACATGGACCGATCCAAATCACRGACTCTGCACTCTCAATGACGATAACACACTTACATGGCACCCCTGGCTTCAGACAGAAGCGGCATGGGAACGTCTGCCAACGCAGCATTTCCAAATCATCTACCAACCAACAGACTTTATTCTCATGAGTGACTGAGATCTCTTTGCTATCCTGACTGGAGCCCACCCTCCCATCCTTCCCCTCCCTGCCTGACAACCCGCCCCTACCACGCACACCCCCGCTTCTGAAACTCCCCCACTTCGCACACCCCAACCTCTGAAACACCCCACCATCGCCCCCTTACCCCTCAGTCACTCAAGCCGGCCGGGGASAGTCTCTACCTCTATCTTCTGCATTGGAGCCAGAGAAGCAGAGATCTGCTGCAATAGAGAAATGAGCTTCATCACACTCGTCTTACAGCATTCACAATGACTACAGCCACAGTCACAAGTACAAGAAACAATGTGAACATATCCCCAAAGGGAGAGGAGAGGCTCCCGCAGGGCCTGCATAACATCTCATTTACTCATCTACTGTGCATTAGCTGAGAAACAAGGACAAGGATTGCCCTACGGATAACGCATACAGACAGACAGGGATACATATGTACCATAGGACAGAACTAGCATCAAGTTGCATATGCATGTAGGATACATATACCTCTCTGGATACCACAGAACTTTGTACATTGGGACGCTGGGCCCGCTTCCCAGCAGGTGCTGCTCCCCACCAATAGATGGAGCCCTGCCCGGAACAGCTTGAGACGACTGCTCCTACCAGCGCCTCAAGCTGCCCCCGTGGCTGTGTTTTGGTTTAAAAAAAAAAAAAAAAAAAAACAAATTGTTGGCAGGTACAGGTGCAGTCCGTGTATGTGGCGAGTAGTGTGCGGATACAGGTGCCACTGATAGTGAGAGGGCCCCATCGGAGGACCATTTATGTGCCTTGGGATTGTGTGTGTGTGTGTGTGTGTGTGTGTGTGTGTGTGTGTGTGTGTATACAGGTGCAGTCCCGTTAGAATGACATTGTACCCAACATAGGGCCTTGGCCCACTACTCACCAAATGTGCAAAATGACAATGGATCTTCCCTTAGAACATGGGAAGATACACGGCGTCCATATGTTTTGTCGTGTAGTGTGTGGAGCGAGGCCCATAATCTCAGCTCTAATCACTTGGAAGATATGGTCACTGCTAGCCACTGCCATGAGAACGGTGACCTGACTTTGTCTCACATTCATTTCTCCCCCCCCCCACTACTCTTATTACGTGCCCGATATGTGGCTGTGGCCTTAGCATGTCATGCTTGAATAGATGCGGTTATGGCCTTAACATGCCAAATGCTTGCATAACTGCGATGTGCACCCCCCCCCCCCCTCCCCTCCTCCTCCCTCTCCACTTAAGCATGGCGAGCTTGCTTTCTTGTTGGCATGTCAGTGACACACCATGTGTCGTCGACTCGTCAATGCTTCCAGAAAGCTGTCATGAAGCGAGAGTGTCTACTGTGTGGACTACGTATCCCCTATGCCATCACCCACCACATCCTGTGTTCATGTCCCTCATGTAATGCTGGACTGCCGTAGGCTGCACCCACAATTCGACTTTTCCATCTATGGCTGTGACGTAGTAGTTTCTCTATGATAGCAGGGTTGGTGTCAGTCAAACGGCAACCGCTTTTCTCAAGGGTATTGCTAACTCTTGCCGACGACTTGAGTCCTCACCCATCCACAACATGCATCCTCTCTCTCTCTCTCTCTCTCTCTCTCTCTCTCTCTCTCTCTCTCTCTCTCTCTCTCTCTCTCTCTCTCTCTTTTTCTCTTCTCTCTCTTTCTCTCTCTCTCTCTCTCTCTCTCTCTCTCTCTCTCTCTCTCTCTCTCTCTCTCTCTCTCTCTCTCTCTCTCTCTCTCTCTCTCTCTCTCCATCTGTGGTCTCCTACGTGTCGCTGCTATACATCCAAATCTCCGAGTCTCTTGGCTTTTCTATCCTGCAATCTTCAGCCAATGGCATCCCAGTCCCTTGGCTTTTCTATCCTGCACGCTTCAGGCAATGGAGGGTTGGCTCCGTGATGGTGTCTCCATGATGGTTCAGAGGGAATGTTGATGCGCACTGCTATCAGTCGCCGTTCCGCATATGCTTAGTCTTTTCCTCCACTGCAGTTGATATGCTCCGCCCTTCCTAGTTCCTCTCGTGCGATTTCATCCGCACGATTGCGAGTTTTGTCCCGTCCGTTACCCACCAGGATTTCCGATTTCTCATTTGAACACACTCACTCACTCATGGCCCATCTCTTCTGGGGGACGTCAGCATTGCTTTAATAAGACATGCATCATTCCCAAAATTTTTACAAAGGATCCAGCTGTGAACCTTGTGCGTGCTATTTTTAGCAAAGGATTCCTTGCGGGTTGCAATGCTATACGGGAACTCTTCTCTTCCCCTTAGAGGTGGTGGTGGTAGTGGTAGAGCATTCTCCATCCCATAATGAGCGCACCCACTCCACCGACCCCCTGGCCTCCCTCATACACACTCCGATTGTCCATGTCCTCCCTACGCCGGGGCAAGGTCCCACTCGCACGGATTAAGAGATTTCGGCCGTTGATCTCGGCTATCTACGGTCTCTCTCTTCATTCGTGCAAGTGGGACCTAGCCCCCGGATTGCCAATCTGTGAGAGTCTTTGGACGTGTTGGTTGGATGGCTCTGCGGAGCTTTAGTTCCCCCTGCACAGTGCACACACCACCAACCAACGATGTCCTGACGCAGGCTGACGGGACGCCAATCCAATCGGAGGCCACAGGGGAAGATGTCTGTCCAGACGTTCCTTGATCTGCGGACACTGGGCCCGTTTCCCGGCAGGTGCTGCTCCCCACCAATATAACGGAGCAACCAACCACCTTACTACGACGGGTAGGGGAGCCTCCCCTTTCTACCCCCCATTGCTGTTCAGGGTATCTACAGGTGACTTTTACCCTTTTTTTTCTTTTTTTTTCCTCACCAATACTTCGTGATTTTTTTTTTTTTTTTTTTTTTTTTTGGGAATTACTTCCTGATCTTGTCCTTCGGGACATCTGTTAAAATTGGAACGATACAGCAGAGAATAAGGATTAGCATGGCCCCTGCGCAATCAAGGATGGCACGCATAAATCATGAAATGGTCCAAATTTTTATTAAAAACAAGTTTAAAAAACTTACTTCCTGATCTTTGTTGCGGGTGAGCGCTTTGCAAGAACGGGACTAGACCTGTGTGGTTTAATGCACGCCGACACCTTGACCTGTGTTATGTTATGCAAACATACAGTAGTTTTTCGAACAAAACAGTGATTTCCCGTACTGCGCTGTCACACCTTGACCTGTGATTTACCGTTCTGCAGTGCAACACACCGCCACACCGCGTGTTGTTGCGCAGGACAGGGCAGAAACGATGGCTGTTATCATTACCCGTGGCTGGGGTCTGTTTTATACTGGATACCTCTTTTTTTTTTCCTTTTTTTTTTTTGGGGAAACCAGCCTCTCGGTCTAAAACGAAGGAGCAGAACATTTTGCAGATTACTCGTGTTGACGATCCTGTCACAGACATGACCAGAAGGCATTGCAGTGACATTCACGCATATCTGTGTGTGCCAGCCGACCAGAAGTTTTGAGCAGAGTTCATGGAGATTGGCACTGTCCTAGCTAGTGATGGAAGACCAAGGAGTCACACTGGCTATAGGTAGGGGCTCTCATAATGATTTTCATACTCATTCGTCACGCTGGGTGACCCTCATTGTGTTTGCCATGTTTGTGTAATATATATATATAGGCTCAAGGAGTTACCAAGATCAAAGATTTGACAAGCAACACCTTTGGCCTCATAGATGTTATCATTGATGGGTACGTCTCTCTCTCTCCCTCTCTCTCTCTCTCTCTCTCTCTCTCTCTCTCTCTCTGTCTGTCTCTCTCTCTCTCTCTCTCTCTCTCTCTCTCTCTCTCTCTCTCTCTCTCTC